AACAATTGGATTGGAAGCCTATCTCACAAAAACCAATGACCCTCTCCTACAAATAGTAAAACATTAAATCCGCCCCATCAACAAAGAAGCTGCACTCTTCAAGAAACAGCTTAATCTACCTGAAATCCTACCAACAAAAATAACGAAGCGAATACCATCTAAACAAAACGAATAAAACAGAAAGAAAAACAACTTGGCCAAAGGAAATTAAAAAAAAAAAAAAACTGGGAGGACAAAGCAAGGTGTTACATGGCAAATACCTAAAAAGAACGAAAGAAGCAGATGTGGACGAACAGAAAACACATCAGAGCATCGGGTTGAAAGTTAAAAAAACAGAAGGCCTAATTATTGCAGCTCAGGACCAAAACCTTGCAACCAGATCCTATCACTGTCACATAATCAAGGATGGAACTGATCCGAAATGCAGGATCTGCGGAAAATATGATGTGACTTTTGACCATATTACAAGACAAGACAAGACAAGAAATTCAGGAAGTGTATGCTATTGACACAGCAGTTCCATCTGAGAGAAGCACCTCCATGAAAATTATCGAGAAATTGTCCAAATACAAAGACCTGGAGATCGAGAGGACGTGGGAATGAAAACTGAAACTGTCGTACCAATAGTAATTGGAGCTCTGAGTTTCGCAAGAAAAAGTGATAGACAATTTTTCTAACATTGTCTCTGGTGACATCATCATACAAGTTGCTCAGAAGATTGTCCTACTAGGGACATCCCATATACTAAGAAAAGTGCTATCAATTAAATGACAATTTTCCTATAAGGTCTAAGGACCATAGTTTAAACCCGGATCTGCTGGATTCAAAGTAGGAAATATAACATACACAAATAATAACAATAGTAATAGTAAATATTTCATCTGGTAGGGGTCACTGCGACTTCTACTAAATTATTAGTAACTTATTATAGTCTATACTATTTCCATACTCTTATGCTATTCACTGAAAATAGTACTCAATAATGAACTCTTGAATCATGAACATCTGAATTTAAACCCCCTCCCCATCTCATGGGCAGGACGACATCTTTAACCTTGGTCAAGAGTCGTCCAGGAGCTGGTAACTTGAACAAAATTACCCTTTGGAGGTCAAGGATAAAACGCAAAAAATTACAAATCTCAATGCTTACGAACAAAACTTCATACCGGATCGGCCGTCACCCGGGAGAAAAAGGACCGTGTCCCTCAAGGAGGAACCAGTTTGGGTCCGAAAAATATGTCACTGGAAAAGAACTGTTCCAACAACGAAGAGACACTTGTTCACCAAACCCGGACTATTTCCAACCTTGGACCAAGTGACTCAATGTCAAATCAACTAATAAAAAGAAAGCGAACGAAATGGTCTCGTGAAGAGTATCAACATGACATTCTTTTTCACCAAACTCGAAAATCCACGAAAGATCACCACGTATCAGACATAGAAAATATGGAGAACTATGATAGGAAGTGGAATAAGATCCCATCTCAACCCAAACAAGCTTTCCAATGTCCGCAGGGACATCGTACAAAACAAAAGACACTCAAATGCAGAAATAGATAAGTAATACTAGATATAAGGCAGAATATAATAACACAACTCTTAAACAGTAAAGAGATGGGAGTAGAAATAAATAATATGACAGAGAATGAGGTAAAAAATAAAATAAATGAGATACAAAATGATAATATCACAGAAAATAAAACTGAAGAATTTACCTGAGACATAACCCGAGTTATCCAGACTGTCTCTGAAGATGAGTCCAACTACATTGAGGTAGAATTCTTTGAAAACCACAGAGGTGAAATCACTGAAGCGAAAAATCACATCATCCAAGTACTCAGCAGAGTAACTCTCACACAAATGTCAGACAGAGACCAAGTCCTTAAAAATTCATATAAAGTCCAATACGCACATTGTTCAAATATACAACGCTGCACTGGAAACACTGTTAACGGGCAAACCACTGGGAAACATCACAGAAGTTAATAATGTCATATACGTAACAGCTTAAGCAGCTACTGGGATACTCGGGGGGGGGGGGCGGTCAAGGTAATGAAAAGAGAGAGTCAGCCTGGAAGGTAAAACTGATGCGAGAAATAAATGAAATCAGAATGCGAGATTTTGATATTAGACGAGATCACTAGAAACCCCAAAAGTCTCAACATGCAAATGCAGGTAAATCAAACAGAAATATAAAATTAAATCACTAAATGAAATTCCATCAATCAAAGAAATGCTAAAACAGAAACTGCAGTTAAAGGCACGGAGAACAAGACGAAAACTTTGTAGGTTCTACCGCCAAAATAAAATATTCCAAACGGAACTTAAGAAATACCTCCTCAAGGCATTTGATAGTGATTTTCTAAGCGTAGCTTAGATGTGGCACAAGGCCAAAATTAGGGTGCACCTAGTGAGGATCGAACTCTCTACTCAGTCGTAATTGGGATACCGAGCCAAGCTTGCTAATCATTACACCACCTTGAGGTGGCCCTCAAGGCATTTGATATAGGCCTCCGTGTTGAGCCGGCTTATGGGAAGATGAATGACGTTGCCATCTCTAATAATCACTCCAAACACCATGATGTTGATTGGATATGTCCTCCAACTCTTTCGGAACCCTTTGCACTGTCTTCAGATTGACACCCAAAGTCTCTGAAATGTTTGTATTGGAGCTTCCGGCGCGAATGCCATGCAATACAGCATGCTTTTCCAAATTTTTAGCGGAGTGAATTGCGTCATGGTGCTCTTTTTCTCACAGACGATTCCCAACTGACCCTACTATACTTTGCACTCTCACACATTTTTTAATTAACTGCAAAAAAACTGGCACTTATATGAAAATACTTCTACAATGTACCCAACCTTAGGGCCTTCTTTGATAGTGTTGAACCCAAAGCCATCCTAGATTTCTTAAAAGTAACAAAACTCTGCCCTAAAATATAAAAAGAAAACTGAAAAAACACCCAGATACAAAATGAAACTAAAACCTTGGGCTTGTCATACCAGTAAAATAATCCACCTAAATTTAAATACCCATTCGCATCTGCAGAAATAGAGATAACTGCCCCTTGGTGGGGGAAAAATGTTTACTAATGTAGTATACTAGGCAACTGTGAAAACCAGAGGTGAACCAGACGTGTCTTATACTGGCATTTCTGAATGGACATGAAAATAAAGATTCTAAAACCACATCATAGCATTTTCAATATTTGTTAGAAGAACCACATCTGTCACTTTAAGACTCTTTCTCTGTGAGGGGACTGTCCAGCATTTACTATCAGAGATTAGACTGAGGAGTTTGGATCAAATATGAATCAGAAACCATCAGAATTATAAGATAAAGAACAAATAGGGAATGTTTCTCGATCGAATATGTTTCACTTTTATTAGAGCTTTATCAGAAAATGAAATGAGAAAAAGAAAGAAAAAAATTCTATTTTTACTTTTGTGTTTGATTTTCATTGGTTAATCATGTTTCATATGCATTCAACTTGCTAAACAAACATTAGTATAATTTATGGCACCCTGAATTCAAGGAGAGACCCACATAATGCAATACTTAGTATTTCAGTTAGGCTTGAAAGCTTGATTTTTTGGAACATCAAATAGATGCATCTTCTGTTCTTGAATTCAGAATGCCATAAATTATAGTTTGTTTAACAAGTCAAATGCATTTCAAATTTCAGTCACATTTTCCATGAGCTGTTGCTATCAAACCCAGATAATTAAGTTTCATCAAATACACAATTGTATTTGACAGGGGTATGACACAGAGTTACTTGAAATATTAAAAAAAACTTGATTTACATGGCAAAATTAGAGTAGTTTGTAACATCTACAGCAGTGGTTCCCAAATAGTGCAGCACACTTCATGGGTGAAGCAGAAGAGGATAGCAGGTGAGGCAGAATGAATGAAAGACAATCAAAGATTTAGAAACACTATTTACATTATTCAGACTATTGTCCTCATCTTTGTTGCCATATTTATTACGTTGCGACGTTTCTTCACTGCCTTAACTGTGATATGTGTCCCCAAGGACATATGGCACAGTGGATAAAGGCAGTGGTTAGATCCAGTGACATGACCCAAAGACTGAGTTCAATACCCGGTTAAGGCAGTGGAGAACTTGGAGAAGGGAATTAACAGAAGATAACTGATAACTGACACCCATTAAACATGGCACGTGGAACTAGAACTGTCTACCCCAGTGAGCAAAATAAAGGGTTCAGTTCAACATTCCAACCACCTTTATAAATTTTTCTTGTATTCATACAGGTGTTTTCTTTTTCTGGACGCAAAGTGTGTAAAACTCTCCAAAAATTTTGCAGAAAAGAAAACGTGTGTATGAACACAAGAAAAATTAAATAAAAAGCTTAATTGCAGAACCTTGTCAGTTGTGTTTAAAGAAATATAAATATATAACAAAATATCTTCATGACTAGTGTTTACTTAATTCTGGGGAAACTAAGTCCTATTTCCTGGCATTGTGCATGGATATATCTTTCTCTTATAAAAGAGATTATCATAGAAGATTAATATAATGTAATGGATATATCTTTCTCTTATATAGATTAGGTTCAATAGGTAGATGTAGCTTTTGTAAAAATAAAAATAATTTTTTTTTTGCTAAAAACAAACAGATGAATAAAGTTTTGAACCACACAAGAGTGTGAATATAAGAATTCTTCATCCGTTGAAAAAAAAAAAGGGGGTGGTTAACAAATGTACAATGCATAACATTAAAAAAAAAAAAAAAATAGCACATCAAAAATATTTTTTTTCCTTTCTTGGCTAGCATCTGAATTCGCGAAAACATTAGTAAGGAGTTAATACTCTAGCTGAAACACCATGAACAAAGCCCTTTTTTCTTTTTCTTTTTTTTATTATAAACGCTGATGTAGGAAAGAATGATCAAGAGAAATTGTTTATTTTAAATGTAATATATACAAAAAGAGCAAAAAGTAACAGATGAATAGATTCCATGAAAACCAAATTAAATCTAATTGTCTTCAAGTTGCCGGTTCATACGAAGAACATCCCCTGGAGCTGGGTAAGGACGCTGTTGGTACAAAGGCCCAGTAGCAGTGACGTCAGCCCCTGTTTTTGCTTCTCCTCTTTTATCTAGGCCTGTCGACCAAGTGCCCCTGGGGAAGAGAAAAAAAAATGAATTTTAGATAGAAACTATTTTGTTTAATTACAAAAACACTTTTTAGACACTATAATTTTTAGATCAGCAGATAAAATAACTTTTCGATCCTTGAATACAAAAACCAATCTGATCTCAAGAGTAGAATTATGCAGCGGACTTGTTTAGATTTGTTAACATCTGGACTAAAATATCCTCAGCTTTGTCACGATCATAAGGTTTTGGCCGCCGTGTCCTCTGATCTTCATGCCTTCCAATCGAGGAAATTTCAAACTGAACACTTTATTTGATCTATAATAGATAGCTGAAGATATAATCCTGATATTTTGTCAATTGTAAGTAGAACATTAATCTAAACATAAATAATGATAACTTATCCCAGAAATTCAAACAGTAATGCTATTTGTGTAAAAGAAAAAAAAAAAAAGGAAATAAATAATCCTTTTTTTGCCTAACATAAAACATTTACTGGCTTTTGAGGCAAATATTTTTCTAAAAGCTATGTATATATTTCAGTTATTGTATAGACAGGAAGTTGCACAAAAGGGGAAGGAAAAAAAATACTTCCAGATGGGATAGGTGGGCAAAAATAATGGAACTTCAAAAGAGCTTGTCACCTGGTAATAGTTGGAGAACTGAAAGGTTTGGGAATGTAGTGGGGGGGAGGGGGGAGAGAGAGAGGAGGGGCGAGAGAGAGAGGAGGGGCGAGAGAGAGAGAGGAGGGGAGAGAGAGAGAGGGGGAAAGGGAAAGAGAGGAGGGGAAAAGAGAGGAGGGGGGGAAAGAGGAGGGGAGGGAAAGAGAGAGAGGAGGGGGGAGAGAAAAACAATTAAATTTTAGCAGACTTCAAATTCCAGGCTAGGCTATTGCACTTACTTTCATACACTTAGGAAAAACAAAATCCATCCTGGCATTGTTTAAATACCAGAGTAGACCTGGCTCTCTAGCTTTGCAAAGCAACATGGCATTTCACATCCGAGGGTCATCGGTTGAATATGAAGGAGTAATGCTAGCACCGTGAAATCTTGCATGAATTAATTTCAACTCTACTTTTTAATAACTGCATTGTTTCTTTCCAGGTAAACTGACATCTGACAATTCAAAATCTAGCTTTCATCTTGTTGATCAAAAAAAAAAAAAAAAAAAAAAAAATCATCAACAGTAGATATGACATCATCATCATCCTCACAGCGATTTCAGCCCCACCCTCATATAACAAAGAAAACTCAGTGGGAAGACATTATCACCTGCATCCTGAAAGAACATGACACCAAAAATAAATAAAACATTTAGAAAGAAATGAGAAGACATCATAATGGTTATAAATGTTCTTTTATGTGCTGTGTTCATTCAGGGTGTTGGCGATAATGGCTCTCCACAATTTCCTGTTCTTTGCAGCTTGTCTTTTTGTTATCTCTCCCAAACCTTGTTCCGCTATCCTAAGCTCACGAGATAGGTTATGTCATTTTCCTCGGTTCCTTTTGCATTCACTTTGTCCTGTATCAAATTTTTCAAGCCCTTTACAGACCGTGGAAATTTCAACTATCCCTTTCTGCGTCCTTTTTGTTTCCATTTTCTCTAAAACGTCAGTTTCTCACATTCGCTGCTATACAGGATGACTAGTACTTTTTTTTCTTTGTTTCTAACTAAATACTTTGCTTAGCTTTTGAAAGACATCTTTCACTATCCCAACGTGCCTTCGGATTTCAATGTCACACTTTCTGTCCTCTGTTAAAACATTTTCCAGATATTTAAATTGTTGTACTTGTTTGAATTGGGTATCACCAATTTGTATGTTGGGCTCAGCCATTTGCTAACAATCATTCATTCTGCCTTCTTGCAGTCGATGTTTAATCGTTTATTTCCACTTTTTTTGATTACATTCTATAGGAGTTTTTGTAGTTTTCTTTCTATTTCTGCTATCAACACTATGGTTTGGTTTGTTTTACAGTATAACAACCTCAATGGGTTAGTTAATGCTGACAAGATTTTTATTGCTAGTAACAATTTTTCCAGAAATGTATTGCTGGCAATATTTTGTTTTTTCTTTTCAAAAATCTATATCCAGGATGTTCAGAGAGCTTGCTGTTAGATATAATTTATCATCTTACCCAGGATAGATCAAGACTATGTCATCTGTATATTTTATGTTTTTAAGATTGTGGCCAGCCAATAATGAACTCTGGTAGGACTTCTAATTCACTCAGAATCACCTATTTAGGTTGAAAGAGTCTGGTGAGAAGACATCCTTCTCTTACTCTCCTTTTCTATTTTTGTATATCTACTGAATTCATTTTCTAACCATAGTTTACTGCCAGTATAAGTTCTGAATTATTCTCATATCATTCCCAAATAAGTAGAAAGTAGAATTAATGAGTTGAATTCAAACTACCACGTAGTCTGCTGTTCTCATTAACACAAAAGGCATGATTCCACTTAATCCATCTGAAGCTATTGGTTGAAGCTGGATGCTCTTGCCTGGCTAGACAGTCTTGCAGAAGGAGAACTGAATCCTAAAACCATAGAGAAGGTAACAGGGGAAACACTACACTATCTTTCTGAAAAAGTGCTGGTAATTTAGAGATATTAAAAAGAAGTTGTGGCGAGACAGGATTTGTTATTCCTTGAAGGGCATTTAAAAATGGGGGGAAAAAAAAATTTAGAAATCAGCTTTTATAATTAATGAACTTATTCTTGATAGTACAAAACATCATCCCTCGAGTAAAAAGAAAATTTCTTGAAAAGTTATTCAAGTCAAGGGAGGTAACTCACCTCGGTGCATTTGAATAAGCTGCAGGGTCCATAGGATCGAGCTCTTCTTGAGCTGCAAAGAAATGAAAGAATGGAATAAAAAAAAAAAAAAGAAAAGAAAAGAATGACATGACGTTAACAGTAAAGCCACCCATTTATCGACTCGCATCCTAATGACCCTGTAGATTTAAGAATCATGTTTAAGAAGTACAAACATTTTGGATAATTGGCATTTTTTGTCGGCATGAGTTGAGCAGGGAAATAGAGAATATTAGATTAAGGTGGGAAGGTGGGGAGGGCAACTGAAGAACAGGGAAGGAGAGGGGCGTTTACTGGATGAAGGGACAGGAAGAAATAAAAGGAATAGCAGCAATGTTGGGTTATCTTTCTCTCTCTTACTTGAAAGAAATGGTTAGAATTCAAAACTCACAATTCAATTATTTCACATTTAAAATGTATATATTTCCAGATAATATGCGAGTCTCTAGTATAAAATTGTTTGTTTTCTACAAATAAAATTGTTTCTATCTAGTGAATACACATAAATTTAGATATTAAAAAAAATAAAACAAGTTTTAATCTCAAGTTTTAAATGTGTATATTTTCAAAACTGAAAGTCATTTTTTTTAAAACCCAAAGTAAAAATTATTCTTTTTTATCCACTAGTGTTCAGTGGGTGTTCTGCCTATAAAATTCTTTTAAACAAGGAAAATTAATTCATTTTATATTTACAAATATCTTTGTGGTTTTATCTAGCAAATACATTTAAGATTATATATTAAAACGATTTATATAGTTTTTAATTTCAGTTTTAAAATGTGTATCTAAAAAAGAACAGGTGATATGCACAGATTAGGAAATATACACATTCTAAAAATTAAATTAAAAGCTTTTAATTATTTTTAATATTTAATTTTAGGTGTATTCACTAGATAAAAACAAAATGACTCATTGATTTTCCTTGTTTAGAAGAAACTTATTTGTAAAACCCCAATAACAATTGACTGGTGTACCAGAAAAGAATTGCCATTTTATTTAATTATTTTAAACAAGGAGTTTCATTTTTTTACTTTTTAAAAGCCATACCATAAACTAATTTCTGAAGGGCTATATCATGTTCTCTCTCAAATGTGTTGTCCAAAGACAAATATAGATAGTTTATGCAACAATTTCTTTTGTATTTTACCAATTTGTTAAGAAATATGTTAGTTATTTATAGTTGACAATTTATTCGAAAGTTTAATAAATAAACTTTAATCGAAAACAAATTTCTGTCAGTGTCAGACAGTAGTTTGAATAACTTGAAAGTTCTTTTACCACACATTTATTACTATCTTTATTTTTCTTTTTTTTTCTTTTCTTTACTCAATAATTTTTGGAGGAATTCGCTTTCAAGAGACAGAGAAGAAATGAGCATCTTCTTGGTTGAAGTTTAAGGTGTCTTCTAATTGAGTGTACAATTTCAAGAATATTGATAAAGATTGGTCATTGATATGAAAAAAATTAAAAAAAATTTTTTAAATCATATTTCACATTTTCAACTGCTTGAAGCAAAATATCATTTTAACTCGCTGTAAAAAAATAATTCAATTAATGAAAGCACATACAAATTACATATTTAGAAAGATTATTTTATTTTCTTTCCAGCCATTATATATATATATTTAAGATTGGACCAGAAATACACGAGAAATTGCGAGTTGAACAGACTAAGCTGAAAATTTATCAGTCTCAAACAAAATCAGATATCAACTGGAAATGCTATCAATACACAAGAAAACAAGTGGCTTACTTAGTAACCAAAAATACTAAATTAAAAACCGAAAAAACCAAATCGAAAACCATAGTATCAAGGGAGAAAAAAAACAGATACCGAAACATAAATTGCCAAACCAACCAAATCTAATATATATGTGTGTGTGTGTGTGTGTGTACCCACCATATATATATATATATATATATATATATATATATATATATATGAGAGAGAGAGAGAGATTGAAAAGTAATTCAATATTTTATGTATGATAGCTACAATTTTTACAAAATGGGAAAGTCCATCATACATAAAATAATGAGTTACTTTTCAACCACCATATATATATATATATATATATGTATATATAATAAAAGAACAAATAGGAAACATATATCAATCTAACATGTTTCTTTTATTAAAGCTTCATCAGAGATTGAGAGAAAACACAGAAAACACTGATATTTCCAATTATGTTTAGGTCAGTTCTCACTTGTCAGACACGTGTCATGTGTATTAAAACCGTTGATAATTCTATGCATGTGTAGGTTTGTGAAAATTCTTGTATATCTAAGTGGGCAACAGATGGTAATGTATATTTGTAATTGTGTGCGCGTGTCCGTCTAATTGGGTTTTTTATCTTCTTTTCTGATAATGGACAGGTTTAATAAAAAAAAAAAAAAAATCAACATATTTATATACAAAAAAAATTCAAAATACTTTTTAAAATATTGGGTGTCACTTGTAAGCTTTTCCATTTATGATTAGTAAATATAGTTTTTACTTTATAAGAATATCACGTGACTGACCAAAATTAATACAGAATTTTAAGATTTTTAAAAAATTTTAAATTATTATAAATTAAAATATTTTTTTTTTTAAGACAATGTCCATAATATATCTTATTAGCTTTTCTAATTAAATAATACCTTTGTTTTATTGCATTTTTTAGTTTACAATTCAGAGCAAATTTTTGTTAACTGGGGGTCCAGTTTTACAAAAAGAAAATTTAAGGATTTAAACTATCCAAGAACGATAAGAATTAACAGGATTAACAACATCAACATCAGAATGATAAGAATTAACAGGATTAACATCAACATCAGAATGATAAGAATTAATAGGATTAACATCAACATCAGAATGATAAGAATTAACATGAACATTCGGTCACACAAAAAAAAAAAAAAAAACAAACATTTCAAAAATAGTTTTAATCATTTGTAAGTTTCATTAAAATACGACAATCATTTGATTATTGCAAGAATTTCCAAATCAATGTGTTTTCCATTGTCAAATGATGCTAAAATTTCCAATACATTTTATGGACACCCACCGACACAAGAAAAACAAAATTTTGAATGTTTTAAAAAGTATAAAAAAAAATAATTTAATAATAAAATAATTCTTTGGTCTTTCCTCTTAATATTTTCTTGATAAAATTTTGTTTTAAGTTTGGGGCATTTTTTTTCAACATATATGCTCATTTTTTTTTTATTTTTAAGCAAATATTTGGAGGTTCATTATATATTTTTCTAAAGAAATAATAAATTTTTCTTTTTTTATTTATTAATCTGACAGTATTATTCTTAAATGTTTTTTTTTGTTTTTTTTTTTGTGGATACTCATATTTGAGTACATGCTCAGTTTATTGATTAAAGAATATATTTATTTTCTTCTACTGGCCTGAATGTTTGAGGAACCTTATTCAAGAAAAATATAGAGTCACTGTTCAAACCTTGCTTGATCAGCAAAGCTTCATCATGGCCGAGTCAGTTAAGGCATGTCAAATTTCTTCTACTCAAGGGCATGCAGGTTCAAATCCTGCTGGGGAGCATATATTTTTTGTGAATTTTTCTCAACTCTTCAGGCCGGTAGATGAAAATAAATATACTATTTAATAGATAAACACAGCATCTTCTCAAGTATGACAATCCACTAATATATAGATAGATATGTTTTAAAGTCTGCTATATTTCTGGCTGAAAGTGCTCAGTATCAGAGAAAGCATATGTAAATATAAAAGGTGATACAAAGGTCAGCACTGAGTTGCAACAGTCTGTTTCATGGATTAATTAATGGATATTTTTGTTTTTTTAATCCAACATTTTTACCACTTCAAACATTATTTCTAGTGGATATCTATATTTGAGTCAACGCTTGGTTTTATTTTAAACTATTTTGTCTACTGTTCTGCATGCTCAAGGAATACTGGTCATCACTAAAAATAAGCTAAATATGTTGGATTAAAAAATTTGAAAAAGCCTTTAATTCTTTAGAAATTGCTTGGTTTACATTTTGGATACAAAACTGAGCATATATGGGTTATTGAGAAATTTTGAACGAGTGTGCTTTAAAGAAAAACAGAAACTGTCTTATTTGTGGAGCTCTTCATGGATGAATGGTTAAAGCATACCCTGGATCAAACAGGGTTTTCTCCTGCATAGGTGGATGTAGGTTCAAATCCTGCCGGAGGGCACATTTTCTTTAATAAGTTTCCTTAAGTTTGCAGGCCGGTAAATGAAATAAACACTTTAAAATAAAAAGGAGAATCTACTCAAATATGGATATCCATTAAAAATAATGTTTCAAGTAATCATATATAACTCACACACACAATCTGTATAATTATCCAAATGTAAATAACACTTCATCCAAGGAATTCAGAAATTGTGTGTGTGTGTGTGTGTGTGTTTATATAACAATAATTAGTAGTAGTACCTGTGAAAATTTCAGTTTTCCTATTTGAATTTTCTGACAGATCATAAAATTTAATGAATAAATAAGTTCATTGTGAGTTCCAGGACTACAAAATATCCATAGGAATTCTCCTATTTCATCATTAAATATTTGAGCTTAACAACTTTAACAAAATATTGCAATAACAAGCATAAATATGAATGCAGGTTATTACTTAAAGTAAGAAGGTACAAAAGAAAATATTTAAAATTGACAAGGTTCTCCTTTTCACTGAAGCAGACATTAAACTCATGAGAGCTTTATCCCCCTCCTCCTCTTTCTCTCACTGGAACCAAACAGCATTTGATATGCCTTTTCTATACTTTCATCACAATCAAAACAGAAGAGTCCATTATTGATGAGGTAGGGCAGGGTATATCCTACACGTTAACTAACAAGCAAATAGAATTATAATACGATAATAATAATAATAATAATAATAAAATGGTAAAAAAGTTGTGCAAATATTCAATAGTTGTCATTTCACCAAATATGCAAATTGCCTTTGCCTACCATCTTGTGAAAGGATAACACACAAATACAAGTCAGGATAGCAAAAAGATACTATATTTTCCGGCTTACAAGGCACTTTTTTTTTACCTAAAAAATACATGTGCATTTTCGAAGACAAACGTCTAGGCTCAAGTAAGCTTGGATAGTTTTGTGATGTCGACAAACACTTGTTGCCACTTTTGTAATGTCAATGAATGCTCGTTGTAGTAGAAACTTTGCAATCACAGATACAACTATAGTAATGCCGTTGAACAATGCTGGTGTCAGATGCCTTCGAATATCACTCGCACTAATAGTACTTTCGATAATGCTTGCTCATAAAGTAACCACCATATAGTGATCTTAATATAGAAATTGTATAGTGAATAGAGTAGAGAATAGCAGTCCATATAGTAATAGAGGATAGAATAAAAATAGCGTTCAATCGGACGTCACACCACTTTCTACTTAGGCATTTCCACCATGGTCACATGATCCACTTAATTCAATAATGGGATCGCCTGTGTTTGCTCACTGGCAATCTATGTTCAAACTCAAGTGTCAGCAGTGACACTTTATTCCTATATGACAGAGTCACCTAATTGGCTTGACTGATAGAAATGTGGATTTGTATGTTGAGTCATTACACTAAAATGTTAGCTCTCTAATTCAGCGTTTTATATGACGTAACCTCAGTACTAGCTGTTACAAGTATTTCCAAGACTATAAACCAAGCTTAAACACGATCTGTTTATTAGCAGCAGCAGGAATCTTTCTGCTATTGACTAGTATGTCAATGCCATACAAACAAAATCAGACGAGTGATTAATATAAACAATACGTGGAGCTAGTGTTGTTGTATGAGAATGAGTTTTTTTTTTTTTTTCTTAGAAATTCCTTTATAGTATTAGGGTGCATCTTCCAAGCCACAGCATCTTGTAAGCTGGAAAATACAGTAATAACATATACGAAATGTAAACATAAATGTGTTAAAATAAAAGTTTTGATAATTTAAATGAGTAGATCTTAAAACATGTATATCACCAAAATGTTAATAGGCCAATTTCTTGCCTATGGAGATGCTAGCATCTTACAAAACGTTCTCAATAAGATGAGTAGAGTTGCTTTGTGGCAGTAAATTGAACTGATAACTTTACGCAATGTCAATTGCTATCTACTATCTGACTGATTACTCTTTCTGCTCATCATTAATATATTTCTGTTCCTAATTCTTCCACACCCTGTAACCCCTTGTATTTTAGTGGCATTACCGCTTTGCTTGGGGTGATTCTAAATAAAAAGAAAGAAAGAAAGAAAAAAAAAAGTCATTTCATTTCTTCTTCTGAGGCAGTGAATAGATTGAGAAGACAAATTTACCTCTTTTTGTTTCCCTTTTGGAATTCCAGTCCCTTCGTTTTCTGCCATCCTCTTCCTCTTCAGAATCTTCATCCAAGTCAGAACCGCTAACATCGTCGTCATCATCATCATCCTGAAATAAGGCAACTAAAAATGTCGAACACCAATTCTTTAACAAACAGTAAGTGCAAAGAAATACATTTCTAAAAATTAGAGTGTAATCAAACAAAACAGATTTACATTGTCTAATATCTTTATTAACAATATTAAAAACCAATTTATTGAAACTGGTATCCTCATTTTGACCGTTTTTGTCACAAAATTCCAACTTTCTGGGAATAATGAGTCAAATTCTTTATTCAATCCATAAGCACATTATTCCCACTCTACTGCCTATGTCATAGAATGCCTACAGATGTCAGGCTGAGACTTTTGTCATTCCAATTCTATTGTCTATATGAAAAGGATGACTACTCAGTGTATAATGTTAATTCCTCATGTCAAATTCAAGCAGACAAAAAAAATTAAATCAAAACCATTCATATGATTTTGTTAACATTTAATTCGTAGCCAGAGACATTCCATTTCATCCAGATTTTAAATGCCATATTGTAACAGATACAGCAACAATGAACCACAAAGCCTTTGATCCTTAAATGATCCATACTTCTGCAATTTCTGCTTCCTTATTATTTATCCCTTATTTGACTGGATCCCAACATTTTCTTCAGTTTTGGTATTATGACTTATTTTTTACAAGTATATCACTTTAAAAAAAAAAAAAAATAAATAAATAAAAAATAAAGTAAAAAAATACATATCCAACCTGTATACTTACCATGTCACTGTCATTTTCCATTCCATCAGAATCATTTCCTGTCTTCGAAGGAACCTTAAGAGATTCTAAATTGAGAAAAAAAAAAAAAAAGTTTGATCCAAGCATTAGTAACACAAAGACAAATTGCTCTTGTTCTAGTCCCTTAGAATATAATTTGTTGTTAGAATTTAACGCATTTTTAAACTGCAAAGCTAGAAGATATATACCAATTGTTTATTTGGGCAGCAATCTGTCTCTGATACAGGTTTCATTAAATATGAATAAAGTACTTCTATTTTTAAACTTGGTGTGTGTAAAAACTGTTCAAATGCTTTTGGGCTAATTTATTAGTCATTTTCAAAGATGGGTTATACTATTGTATAAGTTGCAGAAAAGTAGACATGTTTTTAATCATGGAAAATTGTCAGTACATTGTAGCAGTGTATATAGTTGATGTTATTAAGAAATAGTTTATTTTTATAAGAGCTATTACTTTTAAACACTGTTTGCAATTGAGAGGTATATATCACATTTGTGTTCTCAACAAGTATATTGTACATCAAGGTTGGTGCATTTAAACCAGCACAGAAAACAACTTGAAAGCAGCAGATAAGATATCCTGCAAGGAAATTATCACTGAAGCTGAGTCATGGGTTGTCTTACTGTGACAGGGAATCTGATATGAACTCAAAACAATTTGGAGAGGCTAATGAAATCAGTTAAAAACCAATAATAGTAGCCATTAATGCATTATTTTCTCAATATTACAACACACCCTTCTGGCAGGTAATCAAATCTAGATTATTACTATTGTATAGAGAGTTCACCACTCTTATTGACCTTGTGGCAGACTAAATATCAATATTTAATCCTAAATTACATTACTCTAAAACTCACCTGATACCTTTGAAATGGACATCGTTATCTGGGCTTTGGGATGCAAAGGTGCTAACCAAGACACCTGATCAGTAAGCATATTCCAATAATAATAGCGATTACTGCAAAAGATGAGGAAAACAAAAGAATAAAAATTTCTAAACAGAGAGGAAAAAAAAAAAAAAAAAAATTATTAACCTGTTTGGAAAGTAATTATCTATTTCACCGTTATGAGTTAGGACTAAACCATGGGTTTCCAACCTTTTTTGGATCATCACTCACTTTCACATGGAAAAATTTTTTCTGCCACCTACCCATATGGTAAATATTCAAAAGTGTACTAAAAATGTTTGGTAAAAGTTTATTACTAGTTTGTAAACTGACTGATGTAATAAAAAATACTAAAGGAAAGTATAAAATAATGCTGACTTGTGTGATGGTGGTGGCTGCTACCACTACTGTAGAAATACAGAAGAAATGAAAGCAAACTTGACCATTGAAAACTACCATAGATACTTGCCGATCAAGCAACCTTTGAAGCCCTTTTGACTACAATAAATGGATGTATAGTTAGGTCAATGGTGTAGCCAGGGCCTGCAGGAACATATGCTAATTTCATGTCTTGTATATGATATGAACCACTTAAAATTATCTTCAAATTAGGTTTTCAAAAATCACATTACACAAGTATCTATGGTGTATAAAAAATACTAAAAAAAATTCCTGGTTTGTGGGGATATTTACATCTTATGTTGGAATGTGAACCAGTTATTCTCATGTAGCCTCTTGCTATTTTTTTTCATTTTTTTTTTTTTTATACAGATTCTTTGCATGTCTCCTTTGAATATTTTTGGAGAGTTGCACATGTTGAAATACTTTTTTTAATACTCAAATATCGCCCACCATATTGTTCAGTTGCTCATCATCCACCCAACAGTTGATACTAACTAGGTCGGGAAACCCTGCTGTAAACCAACTTTGTTTGAATGAATAGTAAAAAACTATGTCTAGAATTAGTTTATTGCCATCTACAAGACAATTGTATTGTTTATGATGTATTTAAGAGTCAAAAGAGGATTTTAGAGAAAAAAAAAAAAAAAGGCTAACATTATTGCTTATGTTATTTTCAAAATGCAATACAGCCATCCTTCAATTAATGTACTAAAATTTTTATATACCAAAATTCAATTGGTGCATAATAATACTTGATTATTGCGGTAAAACACTTTTCAGCTTAACAATGGCAATTGAAAATTTTTTTTTTTTTTTTATATATATAGTTACCAGTGTACACATTAGCCACACTAATCAAGGGTTCCTGTACTGCTAAAAAAGCATTTAAAAACATTTGTGCAGTGTATAGAGATGTAGTGAAAGGTTGTACATATCCGCTGTCGTTTAATGATCTACACAGAGTTCCCACAGATTGGTGAAAAAAAATACCAGGACTTTTCAAGGACTGAAACTGTCATATATACACACACACACACACACACAGTGAATGGTCATCAACTTCAAAAACACAAAATTTGTGGTTTATCTTTTAATAGTTTGATAGATGAGATGTTCAAAGAAAAGCTACAGCTGGTTCCAATAATTCATGTCACATGGATCATTTGAAAGCAGTGAAGAAATCCAACAGTAGAAGGCTAAAACACAACTGAATGTAGACCTGGTTATGTTACAGATTTTGTGTACCATTCTACAGTTTGGAGTTTTACTACACTTGAAAATTTTGAATTACACACTTTAATTCTTATTGTTACATATTTCAGCCATCTAGACGACTCATGGTTTGTGAATGTCACAAATTCTTGACTGTCCCACATACCACAGAACACAATGACATTAACATTTTTTTCCATTTCATCTACTTTAGCATTCAGCTCCTCTTTCAATCTCAATGAATTTGTCCTTTGCAGATCTTCGCATGGCATTGGACTTTACAATAAGTGTGAAGTTCTGAATCTGCTCAGCGTTCTCTGCAGAACTGTCAGTTGACCACCTAAGCAAATTGTCTGCAACTTTCAAGCTTATGATTTTTGGTCTTCAGTTCTTCAATTTCTAAAAGCATGAATTTCCAATTTTGTCCAGCTGTTTTTTTCCCTCTCAGATTCAAGGTATTGGTTGTATGCTGTTCTGTTATTTGGAAGAACTGCAGAGAAGAGCCTTAGTCATGGAAACATTCCCAGTACCTCCAACTGTGGCCAGAGTCTGTGGTTTCATATTGTCAGTGAAAATTTCCTTATTCTTATAGTGGAACACACCTATTCTATAGTTAATAGATTCTCCCAACTATAATAAGTAGGAGTAGTAAGAGTAACGAGTAGTAGTTGAGTGAGTTGGTCAGTCAGTCGATGTCAGACGACCGTTAGTCGGATATTAAAGTATCAGTGACCACCACTAGATTTCTCTGCATCATTACCTATTATATCAAGTTCCTAACGTTTTGTATGTCGAACTTAGTATAAATACAAGCCTCCACTGTGAAACTATTCTACAACACTTATTGACTGAGAAACCTCTCTCCACTAAGGCCTCTCCATGAGAGAGTACCAGAAATCTGCAAACTTTCCATAGATTTTTATATTCTTTGTTGCTAGACAAAGAAGAGTAGAACAAAGTGTCCAGACAGTTTTCATGCTTGCTGAAATTCTTGAAAGCAATATTTCCCGCAGCCTCCTCCTCAAATTCTTTGCACGGACTGATAATGTCATCACAATCAGACTTCCTGGCTTGATTTCTGTTCATGTCAGAAAGATTTTTGTTTAGATGGTCTTCTGTGACAATTTTTTTTTTTTCCACAAATAGATCCAGGGTTCAGCCATACAAATGACCTTACAAGACGGTATTTAAAAGGGAGACTTAGTTTCTCAATGATAGTGATGAAAATTGTTTTTGTTGCAATTCTGCATACAAACAGTTCCTTTTCTGGATAAATTTTGCATAGCCCTATTTGCCAAAAATCCAGTAGATCTTTGCAACATCTTTATGCATGTTTGGGTTTGACAAAATTCTTAAAAATTCAGTTTGGAAAAATGTAATTATGTTTTTAGTGTGCTCTTCCTTTACAAATCTTAAGTTTCATGATCATGTTAAAAATATCATCTGCAAGGAAATGAAGCAAAGGTTTATCACTGATATTTTATCAGAAATAGACCAATGTCTTTCAAAACAGACACAAAAATCTACAGTTTCACTGGAAAGAAAATGTTATTCATGTTTGACAGCACTGCAAAGGAGGACTTGGTTTAGCGACATTTATCTGATTTTTTTTTTTAAATTAAGTTCACAAATTTCATCACATCTGGCCAAATGTCTAGGGATTGTTAACATGTTCATACATTTTCTAGCCATCTATGACAAAAAAAATATAAAAAGTAAAAAAGGAACAGAGGTGCCAGATTGAATTTTTAATATAAAGTCAAGCAATAAAAGCCAAATAAGTTTTTGTAACGAGCATGCGCGGAAACATCCCCGAACTGCATGTGTGTGTTGTCGCCGGGCACACCTTGGAGTATCATAATGGACTCAACCGAGGACTACAAGAAGACGCACAAGTTGTTTGGCGTCTTTTCTTGGGTGACAAAAGCCGGTGTGGTCAGTCGTCCATCAGCAGCAGTTTTGGGTGCTGTTTTGCTCGTTTGCTGACGTAAAGTTTTTGTTCGCAAGAAGGTGTTTGTTTTTGTGCTCCTTAATTGTTCAAATTTTAAAAAACAAGGAGAAATTTTGAGATTCTAATAAAGTATATTTTATTACTGTTAAAAAAAAAAAAAAAAATTATTTTCCTTTTAATTACAAATTCAGTGAGTGTGAATTAATTTATCTTTGATGTTTACTTGTCTCTGATGCCTTTTATTTTTGTTTTTCCTCTTTTCTTGTTGAGTAAGGATAACAGCTAGAAGAAGACTCACCTTCATATTCTTTTTACCTTTCTTCCCAGTCATCTCAATGAGAAAATACATTAGTAACTCCGAGAGGTCATGAACTCATTCTAATCAAGGAAACAAACCACTGTTCATAATAAATGCTAAATATTACTGACGATAAACAACATTTTTCATAAAGGACAATTTTAGCTTGTAAAAAAGCCAGATTTCTGGGATCTGGCATTTTGACTTTCATGAATTGAGAAGAAAGATGTTCATGTGCAGCCCAATTTAGAAAATCCCAGGATTTTTCAAGTCCTCAAAGTCCCAGTCAGGTTTCCAGGACATGTACAAACCCTTGACGCAAAAATTTAATGTGTCATGCTCAACTACCCACAAACATCAAGTGAATTGAGAAAACTTGTAAGAGTTTAGGTTCTAAATAAACTTTCGCTCAACATCTGAACACATTCTGCCATCTGCAGCAGTTTTTTTTTTTTTTTTTAAAAAACCAGAAATGCCAACCTTTCATTTTTTGCTTTATATTAAAAAAAAAAAAAAAAAAAAAAAAAAAAGTGATGAAATATTGTGCACCAGTGGTCTCCAAACATTTTTTTCTCGGGTCACATTTTTGGAATGAAAGTTTGTTCATGCCTCACCAAATTTTTTAAAAATTAAAAAAAAAAAAAAAAAAATGACTAATAGTGCATTAAATATAATATATAACTTATATGATATAAATATAAATTTAATGAAAGTTATGAGCTTGTTTTTGACAGGCTAAAGAAATAACAGGATTCAAAGTCAGAACATTATCATTGATAACTCCCTCCTCTGATTTGCAGACCCTAATTACTACATTCATAATACTTGATATAATTAAAAAAATATCTCAATGATAAAATCGATCAATAATTATTTATATTGTGACTCATGTAGGGAATTACAAGTAATCCATAATATTATTTGAAAATCATTTATTTTTGGCATTCATGAATTTTTTAAAACTGTTTCAAAATCTTTGATTGTCTTTCAATCATACCGCTTAAACTGCTGTCCTCTTCTGTTGCACCTATCAGGCACACCTCACCACTGTTATACAACAACAGAAAAGTCACACTATGTATGTAAATAATATCAATATCTGTCTATATTTCTGAGATGAGGTATTTGCACTATTTACATTGTTGTCCACATCTTTGTTTCCAATAACCTAAAGAAGGCCAAAGCATACAACAGCCAAAACATCATGAATATAGCAACAAAGATGAGGACAACAGTCTGAACAATGTAAATAATATCAAGCGGAAAAAATAGGTCATTAAGCACCTAGCACAATAATATAAACTTACAGTCGTATCATGTTGAAACTACCAATTCCCATATGACCATTGAAGTTAAGCAATGTCAAGCCAGGTCAGTATCTAGATGAATGACCACTTGAGAATACCAGATGCTGTAAGCGTGGATGTGTGGGTCATGTAAAGGATAATGACCGATATTATTAATTGGAGAGTTGAGTTCTAATTTCAGTTGGTTCACTCAGGAAAAAAAAAAATAGGTAAAATTTTTGTGATTAATGTCAAATTGATCTTTGATGTCTTGTTTTTTTTTTTTTCTTATTTGGAAATGTCACATTTTAGAACTGCATACCACTAATACAGTGTAACTCGGATATAAGAGAGTTGTCGGGACTGGAGAAGAAGTCTCTTATATCCGGGTTTGGTCTATTTTATATACATTAACACAGGCTCTAATTTGGGACCAGAGAAAATCTCTCTTATATCCGGGTTTGGTCTATTTTATATACATTAACACAGGCTCTAATTTGGGACCAGAGAAAATCTCTTATATCCGGGTTTGGTCTATTTTATATACATTAACACAGGCTCTAATTTGGGACCAGAGACAATCTCTCTTATATCCGGTTTGGTCTATTTTATATACATTAACACAGGCTCTAATTTGGGACCAGAGACAATCTCTCTTATATCCGGTTGGGACCATTTTATATACATTTTAACATTAGGCTCTAATTTGGGACCAGAGAAAATCTCTCTTATATCCGGGTTGGGTCTATTTTATATACATTAACACATGCTCTAATTTGGGACCAGAGACAATCTCTCTATATATCCGGGTTTGGTCTATTTTATATACATTAACACAGGCTCTAATTTGGGACCAGAGAAAATCTCTCTTATATCCGGGTTGGGTCTATTTTATATACATTAACACAGGCTCTAATTTGGGACCAGAGAAAAAATCTCTTATATCCAATTTTGGTCTATTTTATATACATTAACACAGGCTCTAATTTGGGACCAGAGAAAAAGTCTCTTATATCCGGGTTTGGTCTATTTTATATACATTAACACAGGCTCTAATTTGGGACCAGAGAAAAATCTCTATTATATCCGGGTTTGGTCTATTTTATATACATTAACACAGGCTCTAATTTGGGACCAGGGACCAGATATCCGGGTTTGGTCTCTTTATATCCATTAACTTGGGTCTATTTTATATACATTAACACAGGCTCTAATTTGGGACCAGAGAAAATCTCTTATATCCGGGACCAGTTGGGTATTTTATATACATTAACACAGGCTCTAATTTGGGACCAGAAAAAATTTTTATATCCATTATACATTGGGTCTATTTTATATACATTAACACAGGCTCTAATTTGGGACCAGAGACAATCTCTTTATATCCGGGTTTGGTCTATTTTATATACATTAACACAGGCTCTAATTTGGGACCAGAGAAAATCTCTCTTATATCCGGGTTTCTTCAACTTTTTATATACATTAACACAGGCTCTAATTTGGGACCAGAGAAAATCTCTCTTATATCCGGGTTTGGGTCTATTTTATATACATTAACACAGGCTCTAATTTGGGACCAGAGAAAATCTCTTATATCCGGGTTTGGTCTATTTTATATACATTAACACAGGCTCTAATTTGGGACCAGAGAAAATCTCTCTTATATCCGGGTTTGGTCTATTTTATATACATTAACACAGGCTCTAATTTGGGACCAGAGACAATCTCTCTTATATCCGGGTTTGGTCTATTTTATATACATTAACACAGGCTCTAATTTGGGACCAGAGACAATCTCTCTTATATCCGGGTTTCTCTTATATCCGGGTTACACTGTATTTTCTTTTTCTAATTAGAAATTTTCTGCATTTGTTTAAATATCTTTGACCATACTACCAAACTGTACCCTATGCTAACTTTTATAGCTTTAAAAGCTACTGATTCACTGTCAAAAAAAAAAAAAAAAAAAAAAAAAAAAAAAATCTATATTGGTATAACATATTTATTTAGATCAATTGAATTCAAAGAATAAATATTTGTTATCTCCCTTTGTCTCAAAGTCAAAACTAAAAAGGAAAATACATAAAATTTGTTTTAACAAAAACTTATTTAAAAGTTCATTTATGAATTAGGAAAAGGAAAACAGTCATATGCAGTTACCACAGTGAGGTGGGCACAGTTTCAAATTTGACATTTGTAAATAACAATAAGATATAGCAACAAAGATGACATACAAAATAAATAAATTGGAGATTGATTTGGAACTATTTATATCATGAATAGGATCATCCACCACCTAAAATGATAAAAAAAAAAAAAAAAAAGTTCATGGTTTTTTTTTTCTCCATAAAAAAAAAAAAAAAAAAAATTAATGGATGGCCTAATAAATGCAAATTAACAAAAATTTGTTACATAATACACACACACGTATTAAAAAAAAAAAAAAAAAAAAACCTCAATGACTCAACATAAACAAGTCTGTAGCCTTAAAAAGAACCAAAATAGAGAAAAACATTTTAAAGATTACATTTTTAAACAGTTTACTTCTTTATTTACATATGAACTATTGTTCCCATCTTTGTTGTTATCACAACATTTAAGCCATTCCACTCCCTAACCTTCATCAATTGCCAATTTGGTTAAGATTGGAATTAATTTTGAATTGAACCCTTTATTTAATCTACAGGGGCAGAGTGTTCTCATTCTGCTGTCTTTATCTAGTTTTTAATTAATACTGTTCAATTATTGCTCATCCAATTTCCACTGACGCAGGGATTGAACTCACAATTACTATGTCACCAAATTCCCAAACCAATGTTTCAATCCACTAGGATTCTGAGTGGTGAACTTAGAGTCTTAACCTAAGATGTCTGGTGAAGGCTGGAGGGCCAAAACATTGTGATAACAAAGATGAGGACAATAGTCTGCATGTAAATAATGATAGCTCCTCATACCAGAAGGTTTACTTCCTTGTAATATCCAAAGAAGAATCAACAATATTATTAGTCCTGATCTGGTGATTCAGCTTCAGTCACTTGCCCACTGTTGTAAGGTTGCCTCTGTGCCTTTTTTTATAAATACTTTCAAGGTATTTGTTTGTTTGTTTTTTTTTTGTTTTTTTTTTTTTAAATACTCTTCCTGGTGTTTGTGCTTTTTTTAAATAAATACTTTTTGTGGTATTTGGTCTTTCATAAATAGTTCCCTGGTATTCGTTTTTTTGATAAATACAATCATTGTATTTTTATAAATACATTCATGATTTTTTGTTTTTATAAATACTTTCATGGTATTCGTTGTTGTTTTGTTTTTTAAAATAAATACTTTCATGGTATTTGTTTGTTTTTGTTTTTTTAATAAATACTTTCATGGTATTTTGGATTAACTCTTCGCCAGACGACGAGATCACATCAATTTACAGTTGAGCTGTCTAGATGAAACTGTAACTTCTAACAGTTTCTTCTCTCACACTTCATGCTTGTGGAACTGCCCCAGCTCCATAATTTCCAGCCAACTTTAATCTGCAAAAATTTAAGTGCAATACCAATCAATATCTACTCTCCTCCTGATTACTCTTTCTGCTCATTATAAATGAGTGTGTTCCTAATTGCTCCACACCCTGTAACCCCTTGTATGTTAGTGGGGCTGTACTGCCTTGCTTGAGGTGATAAAAAAAAAAAAAAAAAAAAAAAATATGACCATTTTACAATTCAAATTTCAGTTAATAACTATCAGGCTACAGACTTATTGATGTATGCCATACATATCCACAGACTCTTTTATTGTAAAAGTTATTATTTCCAGTGAAGAAAGAGTGGTCTATACCTGGCATTTCATCAGGAACTTCCTGATCCTTCTTAATGTAATTAACTTATTAAGCATTAAATAAACGCGTCGGTCCATGTCTGGGTCAGGTGTGAATTCCTTTTTACCATATCGTTTCCGACAATATTCAGAGCATTCATGGTAGGGATTAGATTTATTGGGACATGCTATTGTTTCTAGAGACTCTGGTTCATCTTCTGCAGCTGGGGCATCTGTTTCAGGGGCATCTAGATCAGTAAAAGGTTCAGTGGGTTCATCATAGTCCTCAGCAAATACTTCCTCAACATCCTCTGAAAAGAACAAATAGACAAATCAAGAAAAAAAAAAAAAAAAAAAAAGCTCATTAACAAGTTGTTTTTCTTTTGACTTTATTAATGCAGGGATGTTTATATTGATTTATTGCCAGGTAAACATGCTGATTTCCATTCTATCTTCAGTGTGGATCACACCTAGATTTGTAAAGTTATTTTGCAGAATAAAGTAGTTTTTACTGGATTTTTGGTTCATAAATTAAAAATCCTAAAACACACACACGTTTAAGAAGATAAACTGCAAACGTTTTTGGCTGAAATGTAGATATTTTTATTTTAAAATACTCCATTTTCCATAATTCTGCTATACGTTTTTTCTGGTTTCATGACCTTCAAGCAAAGATATTTCCACATATTATAAAATAATAAATAAATTAAAATAATAAATGAATTTTTTGCGTGAGTGATTCAAATGCCTTTCTTGGACTGAAGAAAGAAACAAAAATGTCCTTATTCATAAAAGCCATTAAAAGCTTTTTTTAATTAAATAAGATTTTTTTTGTATTTTACAATTCAGAGTTAACGTCTTTGGGTAGATGCATGTGTCAAATTACAAAAAAAGATTGATAATTTATATTCTTCAAAGTCTATGGCATTTAATTTAAAAAGTTATAGAGATGTATGTACATATTCAAGTTTTCATAAAATTAGGGGGAGTAACAGATGTAAAAAAAAAAAAAAAAAAAAAAAAATAATTAAAATTAAAATATTGGACATACAACTGACTGAATGTCAGCTCTATCACCGATGACGGTTAGGCTTTTTAAGGTTAGTTATCGTGCTCTCTTCAAAGTTCATGCAAAGTTTGCACATTAATTTATTTGTTTTATCTTTAAAATAAAAGCTTTATTTTATTATTTAATTTATTTTTAATTTAAAAAGAAAACTTTACTATAAGAAAAAAAAACAAAACACTTGTCATTGCTTTTCGACACAACACAACTTAAGTGCGCAGTAATTTAAAACTCCAAAATTTAATAAAAAAAAAAAAAATATTTGAAATTGAAAATTTTTATTTCCTTTCTAGTTTGTTTTTTTTATACTTTGTAAAAAAAAAATTGTAAATTCTTTACAAAATTTGCGTATTACTGTTTAATAAATGCTTTATTGTATTATTTATTTTGTTCTTTTTTATTTTGTCATTACTTTTCGACACAGAAAAAAAAGGGTTTATTGTATTATTTATTTTTTTCCCTTAATTTTTTCGCTTTTCGACACAGAAGAAAAGGGTTTACAAAAAAAACAAAGAAAAACACATGTCCACTTGGCACTGCTTTCCGACAGTGCACAGTAATTTACACGAGTAAAAGCAGTAAAAAGGCCGATAATTAGTGTTCCGCAGTGAATGTAGTTAAACAAGGCCCGTAATGGCGGACGAATGAACGCGACTGAGTCCGAATTTTTATTGTCGATAACTTCAAAACAGTAGGTTTTATCAAAATTTGGGCGTTATTTTCGAGTTCAGCATATACATTTACACGGAAATATGACGATTTGAGAAAGCTATAATAGATTTTCTTTGCGGGGCTTAAAAAGCAATTTTACCAAAACAACAAAAAGTTGTTATCGTCAAACTCAAAATCTCTGTAATTTTGTGTTTTGCAGAGGTGATTTGTAATTCTTAAATCTTAAAACCCTATGAATTAGGACTGTAAAACACAAGGTTCAAAGTTAATGAAATCCTTTTTTTTTCCTTCAATGTTTTATGGACAAACAAAAAAAAAAAAATATTGAAAAAAAAAAAAAAAAAAATAATTACTTCTGGTCCCAGTGCTTTTTCTTTTCTAAAGTTCTTTTTCTAATCCCAACGATAAAAATTAAAATGCTTTTTTTTTTAAAAAAAGTTGTCTTCATCTCTTAATAATGAAGAAAGCCTTTTTTTTTTATCCTGTCTTATGTCGAATCATCGCGTGCAATTTATTTTTCTAGGAAATACTATCTTTGTTAAAATTCTGGGATTTATTCTAAAAACTAAGAAAGTGTAATTCAAAACACCACCCAATACAAAAAGAAAATACATAATTTTGTTTGGTGAATTTCTAAAAACTTTCTTGCCGTTTAAAATTTATTTTTTTATAAGTTGAAATCTTTTTTTAAGGAACATGAACATTTCGATTTATTTATCTTCATTAGTTCTACCACAGAAAATAACTATAATTTCCACATTACAATATACATAAATAAATATACCAATTGTCTTAAAATATAACTTTAAAATGTCATTTTTTTTTTAGTAATGCGGAACATACTGCTAAAAAAAAATGTAACAAATTGTAAATAAATACTAATCAAGAACTTGCACATAAAATGGTGTTCCAAAAGATTAACATTGACTGACCTGTTTTCTTGGCTTCAGGGGTTTTAATAATTCCTCGTTTCGAAAGTCTAGCTAATAAAGCTGGTGGTAACGGCATTTTGATCGGTGAGTGATAAATAAATGCCGAAAAGAGATTTATTAAATGTTGTTTTCAATTCTAGAGAGTTATACAAATGACATGATTATCTCCCCTTTTAATTCACCACCACGTCGTAACGAAAAAAAAAATGGGTGGGTTAATCAGTAAGGCGACCCAGAATTGTAGTGATAGACTAAAAATGTACCTCTACAAAAAAAAAAGTACCTAAGGCTTAAAATGAATTTTTAAAAATGAAAAATCCTTCTTTTATTTTAGTTTTAATTTCAAGTTAATAGATTAAATTTAAATATTTCCAATAAGCGAAATACTAATGGAAGGAATTTTTTCGGTAAAATAGTAGATTAGCTCCATTTTTTTTTTAGTCATTTTTCATCGCAATGTGTTGGGATTGCTATGAGTTTGAATTTGGTATCAGAAGGTTTTTATGTTAAGATGGTTAGTTTTTTTACGGGCATGTTCACCATATTAATCCGCAACAATAGACATTCAAAAACGAATCAATCACAAGAAACACCGATTATGAGATTTCAACAAAACAACATGCATTTATGTACAATTAATATACAATTTGAAAACTTGTTTGATAATGCAAGAAATTGACCATTGATAAATTGGGTTTCTTATTGATTTACAGTTCAAAACTGTTCATGTGTTTAAGAACTGGTCAAACAAAATGGAAAATATTATTTATACAGAAATTTGTGTAGTTTGTATATGCGTGAGTAAAGTAGGAGTTTGTATGCGTGAATAAAGTTTAATTGTCTAAATTTTCCAGAGTTGTTTACTTTGGATTGTTCTTGTTTGTCTTTGTTGAATAAATACAAATTCTATCTTAGTAGTGTGTATTAACACTTTTCTTAGAAAGTTTTAAGTGCGATGTAGAGAGATTATGTTGGTGTTTGAGTCAGCAGTTGAAAAAAAAAGTATCTTAAGTCAAAATTTGACACGACGCGTGGATTTGTTTGGCATCTCTCTCCAGGATTAAATTGACTAACGATAATTTATTAGTGTAAAAAAAACAGCAAATGTGGCACAAGGCCAAAAAAGGGGATTTGGGAAAAGGACGGTCATCATTTGTCTTAATTTAAAACTTAGCTAGCCACAACCACTGACCCTATCATACAAAAAAATATTCCTATCACCAAAACAACACATTCATACATACCTTTCTTACTACATCCACCAAAATACCTCAATGTCTCAATGAAAATCCTAAATAGTCCCCTTATGTACAAATCATTGTCTGTGAGGGGGGGGAATAAAAACAACAATTTTAAAAAACATCCCCAATGATATATATACAAAATGGTTATAAACTATTTACAAGAAACTAAACAAAATCATGTTAGTAATAAAAAAAAACACAAACCTTAAATGTGGCAGAAATATCAGTTAACCGGACGAAATCGATGCAGGACTATGAAAATATAGGAAACATTCATTCATCCAAAGCATTCACACAGACACACATTCATTCATTCACAAACAACAAATACGAAAAACACACACGCGAAAACGAAAGGCGCCCCACATCCACCAGAGAACTGACATCACTGACCACCTAACGAGGGAGGGGATGGGGAGTTAAACTAAAGGAAAAAAAAGGGACAGAAATAAAATAAAGGGGCCAATGAGCAAACACACCCCTAGCTAAGTTTACCGAAAAGGAAAAGAAAAACTAAAAAATCAAATACAAAAAAACCTAAACTAGCCTAAATCCAGGGAAGGGTTGCCCAAGTTCAACCCAGGAAAACAATATCCTGATGCCTAACCGGCATCAAAATGCCACTCCAGGTCAGCCCCTTTTACTCTGCACATGAGCGCAAGATTCACCCACCTTTTGCCAAATTCTGATGAGCTGAGCTGCAGCCGTTCCGTCCTAATCTTGACTTTAAGCTGATGCTTAAAGAACAAGATCAGTTGGTCCTTCTGACGCGTCGTCCAAATTACGACTCTCATAACACCTAGTAAGCAACAGAATACATAATGTTCTGCCTTCGTCATCTGCGGCACCACATCGCTACAAACAAAACTGGCCTCAAGGACAAAAAAACTTTCCCTGCAGCATGCGAACCATGAGGCCTTCAACAAACTTGCACAAAGGCACTACCATCCTGCAATGAAAGAAGGCGTGACCAATGGTCTCGACACAATACAGCGACGGAAGTTTGGATATTTCTCCAAGCCTGCTGAACAAAGTCTTTTGGCGACCCAGAGGGCCCCACGAATCACCAGCCAGGTGAGTGATGCCTCATCGTTATTGAGGCATTTCAACCCAGGCGCCCAAGGCCATATTGAGCGAGCCTCCTGCTTCGTAAGACCGAGCTCGTCAATTAGATCATCCTGAACGCCCCCCCCCTGACTAACAGTTGATACAATGCCTTATGAGACAATGCCCGGGCATTGGAGAGGCCATTCGACGCCCGTAAAAGGTGTTTCAGAGCACGACGACATTCGCGGTAGAAGGAGCATTCGGCTCGGGGTGTACGGCCGGCCTCCTCCTCGCACGAGTGCACACTTCTCTTTACGAACATCTTCCTTCCAGAAGGCGCCATCCTCATCCGATCCGCGACACATTCGGTCTAGAAAGTTGAAGCGAAGCATATATTGACGAATCTCAATGCTAGGCATACCTAGACCGCCCTCAGAGGGATGAAGGCAACAGATCTCGCGAGATACTATAGCGGCCTTGTCTCTCCACAAGAAAGAAAACAAGAGCCTTACTAATAATATTAGTCTGGCATACGGAAGTGGAAGTACAGAGAGTCGGTAAAGGAGAATCGGGTAGATGTGTGAAACACATACTTCCGTCCTCCCCTTCAGGGAAAGTCTCCTCCGAGACCACAGATTAACCGCGATCTCGGCCTTCCCTTGTACCTCCGACCAATTCATTTCCAACTGGAGATCAGGACCGAACCAGACGCTGAGTATCTTGATCGGCCCATCCGTCCAGAGGAAAGGTCCGGGAAGAGAAACTCCCTTCCACGCACCCAACCGCAAGCCAACAGACTTATCGCGGTTGATCTTGGCCCCTGTCACCATCTCATACCCACTGATCTCTTTGCTGACTTCGTCAATCTCGGCTCTGCTCGACACAAGAACCGAAACATCGTCAGCATAGGCAGAATACCTGGCTGAGGTGGTAGCCCCAGGCAGGGAAATTCCGCGCAGGACCGGATTCGCCTTTAACTTGCGAAGGAATGGTTCCAACGCAAGGACGTAAAGCAAACGCGAAAGCGGACAACCTTGACGAATGGAGCGAGACAATACGAAAGCCTTCGATCTTTCCCTATTCACCTCCACCAGCGCACCGGGGGTCGCATACAAAAGTCGGATTCAGGAGCGAAAGTCGGATCCGAAACCGGCCGCCGAAAGGACAGCCTCCAGAAAACAATGATCAACCCTATCGAAGGCCTTGGACTGATCTAAATTGATCAGCGCGGTTTCACTGTCGACTCGTTCTAAGATCAAGCGTACCATATGAAGGTTATCCTGAATAGTCCTGCCCTTCAAACACAAGTCTACTCGGGGCCAATCAGACTAGACAGGACAAGCTGCAAACTGTTTGCTAAGATCTTCGCCAAAATCTTTAACTCAGTGTTTAACATGGTTAAAGGGCGAAAATTACCTAACCCATCCCCACCGTTCTTGTCCTTACGCAGCAACTTGATCACACCCCTGGTGAAGCGTTGAGGTATAGACCCCTGCTTCATCCAGTGGTTGAAAATCAGTTCCAGCAAAGGAACAAAAACGGGCGACTGCCTCAAGTAAACTTCGTAGGGAAGACCATCTAGTCCCGGAGATTTATCCAGGCCAACCTGCTTCAGCGCTTCCCAGATTTCCGACTCTGTGATGGGACCCTCGCACCCAGCCGCTTCAGCTGCCTCGAGGCAGGGAAAGTCGGCTAAATAGGCGTCGAACTGAGCAGGGCTCAGACCGGGCTCCCTGGTGAAAAGATCCTGAAAGTAATCCCGAAAGGCCTCGCATATGCCCGCGTTTGTAGTCACGGTCCGCTTATCCGGCAATGTGACGCACGCGATATGTCGCCGAGACGCGTTCCGATTTTCCTCTGCACGCAATTCAGCGGCCATATTCGTCGCCTCAGAAGACATTCTTTTTAACCTAGCCCTAACTACCAGAGCTTGATCCTTCTTGATAAGCAAGGAGGACAACTCTGCCTTAGCTAAGGCTATTTCCCCACTATCACGGGATTTCACAGCCCGATCAACTTTTTGTTCTAAAGCCGTTTGCGCCGCTAATCTATCTAGATTGAGTCGACGACTAAAATCGGCAGCAAACGTTCTAATTTTGGATTTTAATTTATCCCACCAGGCATTCCCTAAAACCGCCCCCGTCAATTCCCTCTGTATCATTAGTAGCAACTGGTCCCGGAAATCCTGCTCACCAAATAATGAACAGTTAAATTTCCAGTAACCAGCCAACCTAACCTTAGGCTTATCTAAGTTTACGCGGACCCGGACAAGCCTATGGTCCGAATAAACTATGTAATGGAAGCTTGGACACCCTAAGAGCCCTACATCGACTCTCCTAACTAAGACTCGGTCGAGGTAGCTAGCAAGCGTCCCAGGAGCCGAGTTGCCACTATTTGTCCAAGTCCATGCTACCTCCCGAGGGTGCTCATTCCGGTACTTATCGACAAGATCAAACTCATCGATAAAGCCCCGAAATGATTTCACGTCCCGGTTGTTAGTACCCGGATTTTGCCCTATGCGATCTATATCGGGATCAAGGACGGCATTCCAATCCCCGGCTAAAACTACCCGACGAGATTTTGTCAAGAACGGTCCGATCTGCCGAAACAAAGCAGGCTGCTCAGAATGGCTATTGGGCGCATAAACCCCAATGAGACGTAGAGCCTTATCCTTTATAGTAACATCCAGCACGCAAAGCCTGCCTGCCGGATCTGCGAAGACAAGAGTACATGCAGCCTTCAAAGACTTGCTCACTAGCCAAGAGTCACCCCTCGAACGACCATC